AATTCCCCAAGAATTCAAGACAGAAACGCAATCTTTTATAATCGAAGGGTGAATTTTATTAATAGGGGAGAAACCGTCTTGAAAATTGAATTTCTGGAGAATCCGTGCAATTTTATAGCTAACAGAAGGATAAAATGGAAGCACGACAAGTCATTAATATTATTTTCTAACAGTGGAATGTCTTCTTTGATGGGAATCTGAAAATTTTTTAACGGCTTTATCAATAATCACGGGAGAAAATCCACGGTCAATCGCAACTGCTCTCAAATAATTAAGTTCATTGGTAAGCAAAGATTCAGAGGAACAAACTTTAAGCGCGCGGAAAACATAATAGTAAAAAGAAGCCATTTTTTGCTTAACAGGGTGGCATGACTTGGCATGGGGTGGTAAACAAACTGCAAAGGGTTTACGGTACACAGTGGTGCTAAAATCGGTTTCATCGCGGATTATAAGAATATCGAGGAAGGGAGGGTATTGTTGGATTCAATTTCAAGAGTGAATTGGATGGCTGGATCAATTGAATTCATAATAGATAGAATCGCGGATAACATATACATATCATATATGTCAATTACTATCTACATTTCAAATTAAGCAAATTAATTCCATCACAATCTGTATTATGTATAATCTCCAATTTGTATTATGTATCTGTACTATATGTAATTCAAGTGCCTATATTGTATTGTGTATAATCTGCAAACTATATTAAGTATTATGTCTAAACTGTAATATGTATAACAATCTGCATTATGTATAGTATATAATCTGCAACCTGCATTATGTATTATGTACCTGTACTGTGTACCAGTAAGTATTATATACCTACATTATGTACTTTCAAACTGCATTATGTATCATGCAGCAGTCGAGTAGTAAATTGCAAATCTCTATGCAACTGCAACATATGTGACTCAAATCTACACTGCTAAAAAAAAAAAAAAAAAACGTGGGGACAGTCCTATATCTCCCATTCTACTGGGCCGATTGTCGAAATTCAAATTGCGTTCTTCATGTCTCGAAAGTGCGACTTAGGATATATATTAGGTTTATATATAGTACTATTCTAACATAGGTATTTTGACACAAAATCGGACTTTTTCTGAAATAACATACCAATTTTTTTACGTATTTCGATTCAACGACTCAAATTATGCCTAAATGTTAAATTTTGTAAAATTTGGTGCGAAATTTACGGAGAAATTCAAAAATTTATATTGGCGCTTTTTTTCAGATTGCGCCAAGAATAGTTCACTTGCGAACTTAATATGTGGCAACCTATTTTCATTTTCCTTTTTATATCATGCGTGAGTGGGGAAAAAGTTACAATCGTTCCTTCTTTCAAATAATGTTCTTTATATTATAGTTTTAATTATTTTAATTATTTTTTTCTTTTTCGAATTTCATTTTAATTGTTTAAGTTGCATGGTTTCTTTCAAATAACTGCTTTAAAAATTTCTGTTTATTCATTCGAACAGCGTAGTTTAAATAAAAGGTGCATCGTTTATTTATTTTTTTTTTCAAATAGTTTTCTTTATACTATATTTTTTTAGTCACAGTTATTATTTTAGGTAATTTTTAAATTTTTAGACTTTAATTTTAATTGTTTGTGTTGCATTGTCTCTTCAGATAATTGTTTTAAAATTTTCTATTTATTCATTCGAACTGAGCATTTTAAATATATTTATTAATATAAATTTTCCAGAATTTGATTTTGTTTATTTACATTGCGTTTCTTTCGGAAGAATACTTTGTGACCAAGACTATGATGCATTTGAAAACTGCATACATTAAAAGAGAAAATACAGTAAAGCACAGTTAGCACGACTTTCAGTGTTCCGTTCAGAAAGATATACAAGTAAGAGAGATATATAATCGACATTTTAACTTAGGATGACTTGCATACATTGCTTTAAACAGTTTTATCAGTGTGCCGATTGCTTTACACAATTTAATCATCGTACATTTAGTTTTTTAAAATGTTATTCATATTTAGTCAAATGTTTTATTTTATAAATCGCAAGAATCAAATATCATAAGATTAAAATAAATAAATAAATAAATTAAAAAAACTAAATTTTATGCAAAAATTCATTTTTTCTTTTTAATGGCTTGCACTTTTTCTTCAGATATTCTGCAAGTATATTAAAAAGTATTCATCTTTTCGGAACATCTTGGTATTTCTTACATTCATTTTAAATAAAGTTATCGCCTTCCATTTCATTAAAGCCCACAAACGGCCAAGCGGTTAATTCGCTGAACACTGGTAGTTCGCTCCGGGGTTTGAACCTCGGCAACCGGGCTGGTTGCATGGGCGTTTTCGTTGTTTTTCTCATGTGTAACGTGTATGCCAGCTGGTTTCCCTTAGAAAGTTCTTCACAAAATCATCCTTCCTTTTAAGCAGATAGCCCTGCTTTGCCGTAACTTAATAATCCAATTCAATCCATTTCCTCAGTTTTTGGTGAAAGCCTTTATCTGTCTTTAGAGGCTGAAGGCATGAGATGAAAGGGAAGATTGGTTTCATCAAGAGGGAAAACGTCTTTAGATGATATATACATATACGTTTTAGAAAGATTGGGATTTTTTGGAAGCAGGAGACTTGAAAAATGAGCAATGCCGTCACGGGAATCGAGCCACGGACATCTCGAATACGCGCCGAGCGTGCAGACCTCTATACCACGAAAGCACCATAAGAAGGCGGGAATAATACCTTATGAATAAATTCCAGAATCTTCAAATAATTCGACTGAGAAATCATGGGATGTTCCTTTTATGATACGATATGATGCTCTATGACGTAATTTCAATTTATGCAATTATATAGTTGAAAACCAGTCGCTCTTATATTTAATATGCAATGATGTGGTTTTTGTCTTTTCCGTCAGTACTAACTCAATTCCTGCTATTTGCTGGTGTGCACGTCTAAGTGTTTTGTCTGTGAACATCCAACTTCCTTGAAGTAGACTGCCCTTTAAATTTTTGCTTCCCCCTAATTTCCTTTCTTTAATTCTACATTTGTTTTCAGTGCTGACACAAGAAAATTAAGATTTTTCGATTGTTACACTTCCATAAACTTTGCATTCTTGTCAATTTTTTTAAAATATTCGTTGCATGAAATACGTTTCGGTTGAAGATAGCTTTTTATTTTCTAGGCATTTTAACCATAAATAAAGTTTAAAGCAAAGTCCAAAGGATAAATATCTGAATTAAAAGATTTTTGTTAAATGAGAAAGAAATAAACTACTCCAGCAACGCTTATTCTGTACCACTGAGTGGACTGATTCTTATATCGGGTGCAAAACTATCTAAATAATATTATTTAGAGTTTTTAAGTCTAATAATTTCTATAATAAAGAACATGTTTATTTTATGTAATATACTACACAAGAGATAATTACTACTTTAAAAAAGTCTTTCTAAGAGAATTAATGTAAAAATTTATACTATTCATATATATTTTTTTAAAGCTGGGACATGACCCAAACTCTCAACGTCTTGTTTGCTTATAAACATTGTGAAAATAAACATCAAACGAACTTCTCAGTTTTAGACAATTCAGTTTAAATGGAGTTAAAGTAGTAGACGATAAAGCGACAAAGGTAAAAATTTACTCTGACAAATATTAAAAAAAAAAAAAAAAAAAAAAAAAAAAAAGGAAGAAAGAATGAAATTAAAAAAAAAAAGTTAAAATTGAATAATATCATCTGTAATTTAAAAAAAAATTTTCATATAGCATTAATAAATATTTATTACGCATCATAGAGGGAAAAAATTCATATAATTACTTCTCCGTAAAAATTTATTTGAAATTTAAGGTTAAAAATAGCTGTGGCAATTTACTGTAACAAAATTCATAAACCACATTTGGCGTTATTATCGCTCAAAAAAAAGATGCCAAATTTCAAAACGGGAAAACATGTAAATTCGTGTATAGATTAGAAAATTTTGAATAGGAAACTCTAATTTTTTGCAGGTATGCTTAGAAATACGCCTACTTTAAAATGATGGTAAAAATTTTATAGGTTAGAATTAATTTTTTTTGCGAAAAATTTATAAAAATTACTTAAAAATACAAATTTTAAAAATAAATCATAAAAATAGATAAATTTCATTTGAAATGAACTTAAATTTCGAAATGCGAAAGGAAGAATCAAAAACATTTCATAAAAAAAGATTAATAAATATATACCTAATTCAATTAACATTGAGGAGCTAAAATTTTGAGAGCTGGTTTTTTAAAAACTACTCATGCGATTTTTTACAAATATTGGTAGTTTGACGTAATTTGAGTCGTAAAATCGAAATATGTATTAAAAAAAAAAAAAAAAAAAAAAAAAGTGGGTATGCTATTTCAGATAAAGTCCCATTTTGTGTCAAAATACCTATGTTGGAGTATCGCTATATATAAATCTAATATATATCCTAAGTCGCGCTTTCGAGATATGAAGAACGCTATTTGAATTTCGTCAATCGGTCCAGTAGAACGGGAGATATCGCACTGCCTCCCTTTTTTTTTCCGACAGTGTACAAATCATGTAGAACGCCAGAAATGCTGGGCCTGATACAAAGTTTTGAAGATAAGCATTCCCCTCCCCTGCTTAACCATGTACCTTTTCTCTTCATCCGCATTCTCAGTTTCGTTAGACAGAGAAATTCCTTCGACAATAAAATAAATACCGAAATTGTAATTCGAATGCGTAGTATTCAAAACTGTATCACATCGAGCCATGTTATGACCGGAAAATATAATGTAATTTTATATAATGTTACGCATTGTGCTTTTCACAGGAAGGCGATGGATTTTTTTACCATCCATAAAACAAGATAACAAGATAAAAGAAAACAAGCGAGAAATTACTGGGGGAAAAAGTACTCGCTGAGCGGAAAAAGGTCAACACGGAAAACTGGGTCAGGAAGGAGAAAAAAATAAGTAAAAATTCAGTAAAGGAGAAAGGCTTTTATATATTCTCTATTAGACACACGTTCTAGGATACTAGAATAAAGAATCGCGTCTGGAGCAGGGCAACGTCCGAGGCTGCTAGCATTTAAAAATGTGTACTTATTACAAATTCTGTTATTAGATCGCGTGATTGCTTGGTTATTTATTGGTCAACTTTATTTGGTATATAAACTTGTAAAAATGACATAAAATGTTTTTATTATGCGTAAGAAGAGTATACTCTGCTTTTAATATGATTATGGATTTTTTTTTTTTTTTTTTTAATATGCAAGAATGTTAACGACTACAAACGGTAGACGAGACAATAGAAAAAAGAAACATTAATACAGCCTCTTTTCTTTTTTTGTACGGAAAAAGCGGCAGCAGAATTACTTCCGCGATTACTCTATTGATTTAATAAATACGAATTCAGTTCTGTAACGCTTTCCATATTCTGCAATTCCTTAATGGCTGCATTTTAAACTAAATTTGATGAATAGTATTTATCTAAAAAGCAGTTTGGGCGTACATTAGCGATGCATAAATGATGATGAAAAATGCAATAAATTCTAACAATTGTTTCTGTAGTCAAATAATCAGTTAATGGAGTTTTTGTATTGTTAAAGGATGAAATGATAATTTGCGTTTTGCCTTTTTATTGCGTCTGCATCAATGTGAAAACACAAAAGCATGGCAAAGATCCAAAAATTTTGTAATCTCTCTCATTCACGTCGTATTTCAACACTTGATAATGTAGTAGGTTCAGACTGTGTCATCGAACGCGAAAGTCCTTCGAAAAATCAACTGCGGCGGGTATAAAATTCGCTCCAGCGGTTCGCGTAGGAATAAATGACAATGTTTTAGGATACGAATAGGAAAGAAAATCGTTTCTTCATTCCTTATATTTCTGCTATACTACTTCATTTATATTTAATGCTTAAGAATTAAGATATTCGCAATCAGCAAAAATAATCCAGATTAAAAAAAAAAAAAATTTTAATTCGCCATTAAACTCTCGTCCAATGAGAATGGCGGGATTTTTAACGCGTTTCTTTGCCGCGGGATATGTTTTCCTCAGTTTGTCAACAAACGAATGGGTAGTGCATGCGTACCGCGAACCTTCTGATGCAAATCATGCGTTTTCAAATTTCACACATTCATATTTGTCATTTTTGGATGATTTGTATAGTAATCTTAAAACAAACCATGGCAATGATTCCGAAAAATGTAGAACAGAATCTGAAAAGCTTTTGGATTTAGTGTCAGCTGGGGATTCCAATGCTTTAAAGGGTAAGTAATTTTGCTTTTGTCAAACTTTGCATCGTATTTGTCATTTTTTATTTTATTAAAGAAGTAAGTTTTAATAATTTAAGTATTTTAAGTAGTATTGAATCAATAATTGTGATTTTTTATTACTAAAATAATATTTTCTGATTTAAAAATTTTGAATATTTTTAATCGTAGTATTTTAGGTATCATGCTTGAATCTTGTGAAGTATGAAAGAATAGAAGCAGAAGTGTGTGGGGGGGGCGATCTTCCCATGTCTAACTCCCTTTAAATGCGTAATATACTAATAAATAAGAATGAAATATAATTTTTCAATAAAACTAATTTTATGAAGTTGTTTGAAAATTTTCCGTATCTTTTTTTGTAAAGCGCATATATGTTTGTAGTCATTCTTGGTTAGAAATGTCTTCAGAAAATTTAACTGATAACTGAAATTTTTCATAGCAGTTCTATTTTAGAATTAAGCTTTATAACATCAATTTATAAATTTAAGGGTAATAAATTCTGCTGTGTTTACAACTCAACATATTAAAATTGGTGTACACCATCAAGTGGTGCATCTTATGAAGATGAGAAATTATGTTACATTGCAATTAAACACTTTATTTAAATAGTTGGTTCATCAGAATGAAAATTTTTAGTGCAAAATGCTATTTCTTAAATTTATGTATTTCATTTTTTTGCATTTTTATAAATCCAATTTACGAGTTAATTCTATTTGAGAGGTGACTGAACTGTATGCAGTCCAGTTTAATTTTTCCTTCCGTATCTGAAAATATTTATTTAAAGAAAACAAGTGATAATATGAAACATATTTTAATAGTACGATGAACTGCAGCAATGGAATGTTAATCCAGTGAAAACTAGAAATAGAAAATTATGCTGATGTACTGTTTTAACAGGGCCGGATTTACGTACGAGCTACACAAGCTATAGCTTGGGACCCCTACTTTCCTGCTCCCCCCCTAAAAATGAAAATATAGTATAAATAGTATTAAAATATATTGTAACAGACTTATAAAGGGCCTCATAGTTTCAAATGGCTTAAGGCCTTATCGAGTCTAAATCTGGCTCTCTGTTTCAAGGTAACTATAAATTCTAGGTAAACTGTGCTAATCAGTGATTAAATCTAGTAAAACTATTTTCAGTGCAAGAAGAATGATCTTAAAATCATAAATGTCATTGTAAATATGAAAATTTCATGGAGAATATGTAGTTCAATAATTTTTGCATTGCTAATTTGGGATGTGTGTAAATTTCGCTTGACATTTAATGAACAAAATGGGGTGCATTTATAATTTTATCGTTTTTATATATAAATATATCCTTTTTAAATAATAGAACGTGAAATGTAGTTCTTCTATTTCTAATTACACATACTTTCTTTTAAATTTTAGTTTTAGATTCAAGCGGAAAACCTTCAAGTGGACTCTTGGAAGGTGGGGTCTATTTTATTGGATTCTATTCTGAATGTGTAAATGCTGTAGTGAAAATCAGTGACGATTCTTCATTTTCTGGAAAATACTGTTTGCTAAATTTGGAATTTCCTGAAACTAATAACCAGAAGGTTTGTTTAAAACTGATTTATGCAAATCTGTATTTTTTTTTATTTCAGTGTAAGTTAATTTTTTCTTGCTTTTCTGTAAGCAAGTAAAAGTGTATACAAGTAAAAGTTTCTGTGAGATAGTAAAGTATGAGCAAGCATATTTCTGTACTGTTTTTATTATCTTCTTTCTTTGTTTTAGGATATTGGCAACTCTTTTTTAGGATATTAACTAACTCACTAAGTTATTAAAAAAAAGGTATCTTTTTACTGTTGCTAAATTTTAAAGTGTGTACATTTACTTGAAGACCAGATATATATGTAGGTTATTATTTTTCATACTGAATACTTTTGCTTTTAATGTCTTTAATTTTTATGAAACTGTAGTAACGATCCTGTGATGATTTTAAATACTATTAACTGTGGTATTTTTTTAGCTTGGGTTTAATATTATTTTCATTTAAAACTTTTAAAATCCTTTATTGATGCATCTTGTATGAAAAGCTTTGCAAATTTTTGTAAGCTCCTGAGAGGGGAATTATTTTTTTTAAATTTCTGTTTTATTAATATTTAATAAATTCTTTTGAATAGTTTATATAATATCACAAGAAGGAAGATGAATGTTGTTCTTCTTTGGAAGAAATAATAATCATAAAAACTGACATTAAATCTAACAACATGTATGGTATGGTACTTACTTAAATTTCCTGTCTACCGTGAAAGTTAATGGAGATCCTGCTAAACTTATACCAGTCATACTTTTGGAAATTTGAAGTAACAGATATTTAATTAGATAATCAGTAGATAGATAGATATTATCAGTAGATAGTAGGTAGATGGTTATTACATAGGAAAAACTTACCATAAATATGAGCATCCAATTATTCAGATTCATTAAAATATATCAGTTATGCCGGCAGCCAAAAATTCTTTATGGTATTAAAAATAACAATAATAGGCATCTTCTTTGTGAAACCGGTATTTTGTGATGCTGTATCTGTTATTATCTGCACTATATTGCTGAACATTGTAGAGACATTAGTTGGAGAGATGAAAAGTGAGCAATCACCTTCACCGGGAATTGAACCACGGACCTCTGGAATACTAATCCAGCATGCAGAACCACTACACCACAAAGGCATGCTAGGAACACGGGAGAAACTCCTTATATACTCACCCTTTTAAAGGGCAACTGAGGTTTTTTTAAGGGACCCAATCACTTAATCCTGGGTGGGAGAAATCATTGTCCACCACCCTTTTAGTTCAGTCGCCACTGTAGAGACATTAGGTTAATTGGAAAAGCTAGAGAGAGGAAAAATGAGCAATTGCCTTTGCCAGGAATCGAACCACTGACCTCTGGAATACCAGCCCAGCATGCAGAACCACTACACCACGAAGGCACGCTAGGAAGGCAGGAAAAATACATTATGGCTTAAAAGTTAATGTTTTAAATAGTACTAGTATACACAGTTTTCTAATTTTGAAAATACTCCACTGTTTTCTGCTCTGTAAAAATTAGGTTCCAAATTTTAATCATTTCCTTAAATTCAAGAGAAAAAGTGGTCTATATTCTTCTTAAGAAATACTAAAGTGGCGATTTGAGAAACTGGCTTTTTGGGCATAAATTTGAGATTTGAGAAACTGGTATAAAACTAAAGCAAAGACAGTGCTCATCCATTATTTGTGTTATACTGCATGTTTGGTGACAGTTTTGTTTGCCAAAATTGGTCAACACAAATATGTACCCATGCATGTTATATGAAGTGACTTCAATAAGTTGAATATTGATATTGAATAGTCTGGCGATTTCATCTTCTGCTTATGTATTTTTAAATATCAGCAGTGAACCATACCTGTTATATCCTTTTATTTATCTGTTAAGATCAAATTTCTTGCAGGCACTTTGAAGCATGTGCAAAGAGGAAATTCATGGAGAAGCATTCAGGCTTTCCAGTTTAAGTTGCATGTTTTCCTTTATTAAGACAAATTTGATGGAATTACGTATTTATCCTTTTATATAGTCCTCTTATATGGAAGACAATGGTGGTAGCTACAGATTTTGTTTTCTTAAATATTAATCTTAAATCTGCATTTAAATTAAAATGTTTCTCAAAACAAAATAAGGACTTTTATGAAAACTTTTACAACACCAGGAGCTAGAATATTTTTGTAAATGCAGAATTTAATCCTTTATATGATTCCCACAGAGAAAGAACTTCAATCAGCAAAATGTCTGATATGCTTTCATAGAGTATAAAAAATTTCATGCATTTATGTGCTGAATTTGGGGAATCGTAAGAAAAAACATTCATTGATTTAAAGATATTTTAAGTGCATATCAATCAAGAAACTATGATTAATTTTCATTCTTATTTAAAGACAAACCATGAAATATAAGTTGTTCTTTTCAGCAATTAGTAACTTCAGGTGATAAGAACAGTAGTTATTATTAACTTTGCAGTGGGTACCTAGAATTAAATTTTTCTTTTGAGGAAGTAAGGTGCAATCTCCATCATAATGTCAAAACTACCATTGCTATTTTTTTCTAATTTATAGTTTTCCCATTTAAATACTTAATCTAAAAAATCATACAGCTGCAGTTAAATTCTATTATTTAAGCAAAATACATAACATTAATTCAATTGCATTTGTGTTATGATAATGATGAAAGTTTAATAAAATACCAATCAAAAATGCAATACTTATTTTGATCTGATGCATTATTTTATGAGGTGAAAAGACTTCATAAAAGCAGTTTTTTAATTTACACCAAGTTGTTTGTTAATTTTTTTTAATGTGTAAAACTTCTTTATAAATGCATATTTATGTACACTGTGCAAAAAAAAAAAAAAAAAAAAAAAAAAAAAACGGGAGGACAGCTTTACATCTCTCGTTCTACTGGGTTGACTGACAAAACTCCAATTTTCATGCATTTTGCATGTCTCGAAAGTTTGACTTAGGATATGTATTAGATTTATATACAGCATTGTTCTAATATAGGTATTTTGGCACAAAATCAGACTTTTTTTGAAATAATATGCTAATTTTTTTCCATATTTCGATTCTACGATTCAAATTATACTTAATTTAAAATTTTGGAGAAATTCAAGAATTTACTTTGGTGCGTTTTTTTTTTCAGTTTGCGCGAAGAATAATTCATTTGGTGAACTTCTTATAGCAAGATATTTTCCTTTCCTTTTTTATATTGTTAACAAAGAGGAAAAAAATCATCATTAACTATTTCAAATAATTTTAACAGAGTGTGTAAACCACATTTGGCATTATTATCGCTTTTAAAAAAATATGCCAAATTTCAAAACGTGCCAATATGTAAATTCACATATATCCTAGGACATTTTGAATAAATAACTCTAATTTTTTGCAGGTATGCTTAGAAATACGCCTACTTTAAAATGATGGTAAAAATTTTATAGGTTATAATTCAAAATTTTTTTTAAAATTATAAAATTTATTTAAACGTAAAAATTTTTAAAAGAAATCATAAAAAATGGTCAAATATTACTTGGAATGAACCTAAATTCTGAATTCTGGAAGAAGGAATCAAGTAAGTTTAAGAAAATAAGATATATTAATATCTTCAAATTCCAAATTTAATTAACATTGAGGACAAATTCCAAATTTAATTAACATTGAGGAACTAAAATTTTGAGAACCAATTTTTTAAAAACTACTACAGTATAAAGTCTTTAATCCGGATGTTCATAATCCGGAATGATCTATAATCTGGACCTCAAAGCTACAAACTTTCTGTGCATGCGTAAACACATTATGTGTTTATGCATGCGCATAATACCTTTATGCATGCGCATAATACCTTTATGCATGCACATAATACATTTACACATGTGCGTTTAATGTATAACGGACGGTATAAGCTAGGCTGAAATTATCTAATTATCTGTTTCAGTTAATGTTTCAGATTGCGTTGTTCCTTAATATTTTAATTGGATCCGGCTTACTACTTTTTGCAGACTGTTAGAGCAATTTTATAAAAAGTAAGCTTGAACTTTCAGTTATGTCAAAAAGAGTTTGGATGCCAAAGATTCAAAGGAAGCTGCCCAAAGGATCTACAAAGCGAAAAGCATTTGTTTCGATGTCCATCAAACAAAAAGTGGAATTGCTGCAAAAAATGTTTGATGTCAAAGCAAACAAAAATGGAAAGGCAAAAACAAGGAAAAGGAGCATGAAGAAAGTGACAGAGATGTGATTTTTTTTTTTCTCTAACCATTCCGAAATCTGTTTATCAATTTCACGCTGCTCTGCGGGGGAAGGGGGGAATATTGCGCACAATGAACTGGAAGTTGATCTGTCAGCACTATCCTTATCTTCAGGGCAGATGTTTTTATTTTATTCGGCTTATAATTCCTTACTAAATGTAGTAGTTCATCTCGATGTACTCCATTCATATGATTTAAATAAAATTCCTCGTCATTATAAATATCACGAATACACATCAAATAGTTTCTGGTTGCAACTTTCTAATTTCGTCTATGCGTAATGTATGCTTTACGCATGAGCGCCTAGAAAGAAATGTTTAATAAAGTAAACAAATAAATATTAAGCTTTTTTTTTTTTTTTTTGTAAATTTTGATAACCTTTAGATCATAATTGTTCTTTATTTCATAAATTACGATTTCATATTTTTAATTGTATAATTTCTGCATGCAAGATTTAAAGATTTTAATTGATTTACAAGATTTAAATTGATGATCTATAAACCAGAATCGCCGAAGTCCCGACAAGTCCGGATTAATGACTTTGTACCAGAAGCGTAGCTAGGGTTTTCAGCGCCCGGGGACAACTGAAGATTTTGCGCCCCTTTCTCTGTGCCAAGAACGGAAAGTATTTCATTCTAAAATTTCGTAACATCAATTTGGCGCCCCCTGAATGCTGCGCCCGGGGACAGATGTCCCCCCTTGCCCCACCCTAGCTACGCCACTGCTTTGTACTGTAGTACCATTTTTACGAAACTTGGCAGTTTGGCATAATTACCCAATATTAGAACAATGCTATATATAAATCTAATGCATATCCTAAGTCGCACTTTTGAGGCATGAAAAATGCAAGTTAAATTTTGTCGATCAGAGGGGGAGATATAGAATGTCCCCTTTTTTTTTTTTTTTTTTTTTTTTTTTTTTTTTTGCGCAGTATACGAAATTTTTAGTGTTAGATTTTAAAAATGTAATTTCTCTCACTGCATTCAGAGGATGAGCTCCCATAAATTTTAATAGGTAGATGTTTGAGTGTGCTTTGCCATAATCAACTAAACCAAAACTCTAGATTTTAAAAGGGTTTAGTCAATGTAGTGATTGTTTTTGTCTTACTAACAGAGACAAATCTTTGCAAACTGCTTGTGAAGCTCATGACTTTCTCTTCTAACTGTTGAACTTTTTGTCAGCTTAGTACAAAAACATAACAATTACCGCGAAACAAATATAAACTGACATTGAGTCTATGATTTCAAACTAACATTCAGTGTACGATTTCGCTGAGTCAGCTGCACATAAGCATCTATAATTATTTATGCATGATTTGAGGCCTAAGAATAGCAGAGACTAGAGAAAGAGCAAGATTCAAGTTACAGGGGACTAGAAAGGAAGATAAGTTATTAAATATTGTAAAGTTAACATTACAATGTATTCTTATTGGAATATAGGTTTCTTTAAAAAGAAATAATATTGGGATAGTTACCTGTAGCTTATCTATGTCTACTTTTCATAATCCATTTTCACATTTACCATTTTGTGAATAATTTTTAGATAGCAATTCTACCATAATCATAACAACTTTGGGCCCCTCTATCCAACCAATGGAACAATGTTTTTTCAGAGATTCTCTTCTGGACACAAATTCTTGGCACACAATTTAATATACAGTCAAAAGTCTTTAATCCGGACTCGTCGGGACTTTGGCGATTCCGGATTATCGGTTTTTCTGGATTATAGATCATCAATTTAAATCTGGTAAGATAGCATGCAAAAATTATACAATTAAAAATATGAAACCGTAATTTATGAAATAAAGAACAATTATGATCTAAAGGTTATCAAAATTTACAAAAAAAAAAAAAAAAAAAAAAAAAAAAGCTTAATATTTATTTATTTCTTTCTAGGCGCTCATGCGTAAAGCATACATTACGCATAGACGAAATTAGAAAGTTGCAACCCAGAAACTATTTGATGTGTATTCGTGATATTATAATGACGAGGATTTTATTAATCATATGAATTTTATAACATCATGATTGAGATGAACTCGAGATACTACTACATTTAGTAAGGAATTATAAGCCGAATAAAATAAAAACATCTGCCCTGAAGATAAGAATAGTGCTGACAGATCAACTTCCAGTTCATTGTGCGCAATATTCCCCCCTTCCCCCGCAGAGCAGCGTAAAATTGATAAACAAATTTCGGAATGGTTAGAAAAACAAAGGATATGCCTTTATCCATTTTTTGCAGCAATTCCACTTTTTGTTTGATGGACATTGATTTAAAACAGAAAATGCTATTTTTAACAAAATTAAACAATGCATTTTTCGGGAAGGGGGGGGGAAGGTGTCTAAATGCACAATTCATTTTTTATCTACTAAAACAATGAAAGTAATTTTTATTTGAATAGATTCTGAAATGAAATAAATAATTTTGTTTTTGACTTTGCTGTCTGAAAATTAAACAAAGAATTTTTCATCTTTTGACAAAACAAACTATATAATGTATTTATATTTAACTAAAATTAAACTAAAGTATACATTTTACTGTATTTACATTATAATAAAATTTGCTGTATTGTTGTATTTGGAAATTCACTTTCTGTGAGAAATATGTCATGTATTATTTTCATCAGTATGAAAATCAATGAGAAATTAAAAACATGTAAATCAGTTGCTGAAAAAGTTTAATTTTTATTGGCTTTGATAAAAGAATAAACCCTGAACAACTAGAATTTTACTTTAGTTTGAGATGCAACCTAAGCAATGGGCTCTGTTTTGATTCTGTGACATTGGTAAAAAGTATAAGACATAGAATAACCAAAAAAATGTTTTAGAAATTTTTATTGTTTGCATTTTCCTGATGAAAAAAAATTAAAATGAAATTTTAATTTAAATACAATAAATAATTTCAGATTAATTAAAATGCAATTATTCCACATAATGATTTTTTTTTTTTTTTTTTTTTTTTTTTTAAGGATATAATACCAGAAGCATCATGGTTAGTTTTTACTCAAAGTCAAAAACCACCTACTATTGGAGTTTGTATTCCATCATCGTGTTCAGAAAACGATCTTGCTTATGCATCAACAGTTAGTAAGTGCATGATTTTTTATATTCTATTTCAGCTTTTGATATCTTTTTTAATTTTTTATACAGTACAAAGTCTATAATCTGGACATCCATTATCCGGAATGATCTATAATCCAAACCTCAAAGCCACAAACTTTTCTTTTGTATGCTTTACGCATGCACGTTTAATGTTATGCAGGCATGTTTAATGTTTACTCATGCGCGTTTAGCACAAAAAACGAAGCAACTTAAAAAACTTACATTCAAAGAAACGTTTAATAAAGTAAACAAACAAATATTGTCGCATAGATGAGGGGATCCTACAAATGAACAGTCAAGTATAAGTCTAAACTCAAGACTTTTTATTCACTAGAACTGAATGAAGAGTTACTTATATACAGCTGGTGAACATGTTGAAACATTCCAGACTTGGAATGTTCTAGAAAAATAAGAAGGAAATTTACATAAATAAGATAACATTAACAACAAGGAAATTTACATAAAAACCAATAATCAGGCATCTTGCCGTTGATGGGTTTCGAACTTGGTACTTTCGGGTTTCGAGTCCTGTGCCTTCTCCGCTAAGCTATGAGGAGCTCGGTCGAAAAGAGCGATTTTTGCTACAATATTAAGCTTTTTTTGTTTTTGTAAATTTTAATACCCTTTAGATCATAATTGCTCTTTATTTCATAAATTACGGTTTCATATTTTTAATTGTATAATTTCTGCTCACCATCTTACCAGATTTAAATTGATGATCTATAATCCAGAAAAACCCTTAATCCGAAATCACTGAAGTACCGACGATTACGGACTTTGTACTGTATGTGTGAAAAATAATTTTACTTTTCACTATTGTGTATAAGTAATAAACTGAATTTCCATCCAGCAGAATACTGTATAAATGTTTCAATGAAATCTCTCTAATAGATGCATTTTTTTTCAGAAATCATCAGAAAAGCAATAATTCAATTATTTGGAGCAAGCTTATAAAAATATTTTGAATGGGTTATTCATTCTTTATGGTTAATATATAACCATTCATTGTGGTGTAGATTGCATTTTTATATTCAACAAATATTGAATACAAAAATACTATTTTCATTTTGAATTTTAGCCTTTTTATTATTATGTTGTAGAGCAATTAATAGAATTGAAAATAATAGTTTAATAAGATATTATATTTAGTTATAAGTCTTAAGTTAATAATTTAGTAAGTATTATGAAGTAAATTTCATATTGAAAAAAAATATATATTGTATAATTGCAAGAGATATTTAAAAATTACTATAAAATTAATTTAAAAACTATTTTGTTTCAGAAAATAATTCCTGCAAACTTATTCTAAACCTTTTTCTGCCACTCATAATTTGAAGTCTAGTTTGAGATTTCTTTTGGCAGATATATATATCATATGAATGCAAATAAATTGTTTTGAACCTTTATTTTAAAGTGTTGAGATATTTTTAATTAAAATTACTCTTTATCACCATATTTTAATTTTTGTTGTTTTGAAATTTAAAAAAAAAAAAAAAAAAACCTTCCTACTATCTAACAATATAAATTATTGAATGAAAAATAGTGTATGATGATTGCCTGCTAAACAGATGGAAAAAAAAATGTATGCAGATTAATTGAAAGAAGCTATGGTTTTTTATTTAACTTTGTTCAAAAATGTGTCCTTTCATGATTGAGAGCAAAAGATCCAATAGTGAGTATTAATTTGTAAACTTTTAAATATTAAAGTTTATGGAATTTTGGAAATTTGCATTTATCACTAAAATTGAATTCAATCAATAATATGGAAAAGTAATTTTTTTTTTTTCATCAAAGATTAAACATCAAAGATTAAAAGCAAATATTTTAAAGACTTTTACAAATAATCTGTGTACAATATTTGATAATAAAATTCCAGAATTGTTGCTGTGAGGAAAAAAATTATAAATGTATTGCAGCAAATTGTGTTCATTATGTAATTTGTGATTGCTTATTAATTTCAACATTATTTTACATAGGATTTAATTAAAAAAATAATTTGACATCCAGCTTAGAATCAAGCTGAATATTCATTATTCAGTATGTGATTGATTTGATATCTGTTGCATCTCTTCTAATTTTTTATCTATATTTACACTGTGCTGTCTAAAAAATATTTCTTAGTGCTGTTCTCCATATCATTATCATTCATACTACTGATATATTGTTTGCTGTTTATGTCTTATTCATTATATCTCATGATATGTATATATTATCTATTTTGACACTAGAATCTATAAATTATTGACTGTTCATGATCTGATTTGTTTAGAAATTCTATATTTATTTATATTTTTTATATGCAGCCTCAATTTCTGTTACATGCATAAATATCTTAAGTTATAAACTATTAAATTTTAAAAAATAGAAAAATTCATGAAAAAACTTCCCTTAACCATTCAGGAGTGGAACTGAAACAAAGAATATATAACACTATTAGAAAGGAATTCACTTCATTGTAATACCTTCCGAGCTGTGACTTTGAGCGTGTTGGACACACTTTGGTTTACTGCTCAATTTCCTACAAACTGACCCAGTCCCGTAGGCGGTCAGTGAGTATACGTTTAGTCTACTGAGTACCCTCTTGGATTACACACATGATTCCTATGGGTTTCACTGTTAATCATGTCCTTTTACAGGACAGTCAATACTGATGATGATATTAGCGATTGTACAGACTTGGAACGATCAACTTTATCCCTACCTACCACCTCAAAGCTTGGTGAATTCCTGAAGGATCCAAGACTGTGGAAAAAAGGCAAAAATAAGAAAGGGGAAGAAAAGTCTGAAAAAGGGGAGATGGATGCTGCAAAGGCCCGGGAGAAGAAGTTACAAAAACTGATCAGAGAGTTTGGAGTGGATTACATAACGAAACACTTGGAGTATGAGGCAAGGCTAAAAGTAGCTAAAACACCAGAGGAAAAATCCAGAGTCATCTCTGAACACTGCAAGGAAGCCGCCTAGTATCTCAATAAGAGACAATGTACTGACCTAGTTACTGAGAATCCTGGTGCAGTTGAAGAATGGACCATGCCAAAGAAAATTGCAAAAATCAAGGAAAAACCCAAACCGATGGAAATCCCCCAGGAGAACCGGTTGCAGTTACTCAAGAAAATTTCCGAAGAAAATCCGGAAGGCAGAGCCAATGCATAAGTCCCTCCCCCATCCATTGTATTCTCACAGAGTGTGATTGGATGATACTGGACGAAATGTTTATGGAAAACGGCACTGAGCCCCACGAATGCCAAATGAAAGAAAAATCCATCTTCGTCTATACTAAGAACCTGAAGGATTACAGTACAATGAACAAGCTACTATTAAAAAAAGAAAATCCCCTACTACTCCTACCAACTTGATTTTGAAATGCCAATACGTGTCATCCTAAAGAACCTCCGTGCCACTTATAAAGAAGAAAATATTCTACAAGACCTTAAATGCAGGAACTTCCCCATTGAAAAAGTGAAGCAGTTTTCGAAACGATGTGATGGTGAAATAATTCCCATCTTTCTACTTGAGTTAAAAAGCACCCCAGAAGGTAATAAGATTCATCAGCTCAACAACATGTTCAGCTTCAACATTACTGTAGAAAAGTTTAACCCTAAGAAATGACCAGTGCAATGCTTCTGCTGCCAGCAATTCGGTCATTCTCAATTTTATTGCAGTAACCCCATTAGATGTGTGAAATGCGGGTAACAACACAGAAGCAACCAATGCACCATGAAACCCGAAGACAAGCCAAAATGTATTTTCTGCAGACTTTGTCATGTCAGCAGCTACAGAGGCTAAAGCGAGTATAAGAAAAGATTTGAAAAGAAAAGCAGCTCCTCCCTTCCAGCCTTAAGTTCCGAATTCCAGAGGAATTTTACTTCAGACCCTTTGTTCCCGAACTCCACCCATACACGAGAGGAAGAATCTTTCATACTAATTTCAACTCGAGAATCAGACTGCGATTTTTGTATTTACATGAGCGGAAAATCTTTAGAAATTAAATCTCCATATCCGGGCTTCCCCCGAATTCACTATTTTAAATGATGTATAATAGGATTGTTTTAGCACTGTTTAGGTTTTGCATTCAACTTTTCATTCTACGATTTTAAAGCATGGTAAATCTATATTCTTATTTAGAATTATTTTTTTGGTTTTATACACTGACTACCATGATAAGGACTTTGAACACAATAGTTTGGGAAAAAAAAACATACCACGCACTTAACAAACCTTAAATCACATAGTTCTGCCATGTTTAGAGACCCAAGAGGTGTTAGTGCATAGTACCCAAAATTTTGAAAAGTTTTTTTGACGATATGGTTTAGTATTTTCCTTCCCAATTCATAAACTTTTTCTTTCCCATTTAATTTGCATGACATCAAAGCAGTTTTCGAAGATCAGACAATTCAACGTATTTTCGTTTCATTTTCCAAAAAAAAAGATTGCACAAAGGAACCTTGAAAAGATGACAGCCACAGGCACATGGCATTTGGATAGGGTTCCCCCAGTAAAATTGCTTCTGATAAAGTACATTGAAAGGAGCAGTTAAAGAACCACCAGAAGACTCAGAGAGGGAAAGATGGCCCGTTCTTTCCTTAGGAGAGCTTTCTTATACTATGATGAAATCGGTTGGGGCCCTTATTGCTCCGAAGCACTTCTATTTCTCTGGCCAATTCTTTTCACCATCATCCTTCGCTTTCTGCTATTTATTTTTAATCTTGATAACCCTTATTTCAGAGGAGTCGACTCTGGATTATTTTGTTTTCCTAGTTAGGGGTTATATGCAACAGGCGATAAATGGTAAATCCTTTTGCTGAATGTCTAAGAATCCCATTCCATGTCAGAATCAGATTTTGAATCCTTTTAGAATAATTAAGAATTTCAGCTTCAACATCTCTAAAAATGGAGGCTTGAACCACCTGGCAAAATGTATGTTTGAGGCGTGTGAATCAAATTTTTAATTCAGGTATCTTCCGTGAAATGGTTGGAATTGCTTTCTGGCTGCAGATTGAATTCATTTTAAAGGGCCAGGGTGGTGTATGCCATTAATTAATGAAAAGTGCCAATATTTCTATAAGATATATTCAGGTATAGCTACTTTGTTGTGTGGAGTAGTGACGTGATTAAACTCTTGCAATGTTTTTATTGCTTTTGTAAATTGATTCCAGGTTGGTGGAAGATTTTTTGGTTTTTTCTTTGGACTTAAATACTAACGTGTAGAACTAAATATCAAAGAAAAACTTTTTAAACCAACCTTTGGAAAAACTATTGAAAATTAAGAAGCTAAAGATAAAAAGGTGTATGTAAGCCGAACATGTATGTGTGTTAATTGATCTCCTGAAGAATACTATATTATTTTTGTAGGTACTCATTCCGTATTGACAAGCCCAGTACCTCAACATTATTCTGCCAGTCAGTTTTCAATAAGCATTTTGATGAATCTAAAGATGGTCATAGGAACTCAGGAACTCTTTACTTAACCCTGAGTATCTTTGTGATGAGGGTTTCAGAGCACAAGCAAACAGGACTCCAACAACAGTCGCGATGAGTTTCTGGGCACCTAGTGCATTGCAAATCCTTTCGTCAGAGGTTCTCGATAGGGTTCAGGTCTGACTCCGCAGGCAGTCCATTCGATGAACTTCATGGCCCATACAAGCCTTGGTTAACATCAAAACATGACAACTGGCATTGTCGTCCTGAAAGTAACAGGGGTCCAACCTGTAAAACTGCCACAACGTAGGAAGCACATTGTCATCCAAAATAGACATCGGAGTTGAGTTTACCATGAATGGGGACCAAGGGTCCCAGCCCATACCAGGAGAAACACCCATAAACCATAATTCCACCTCCGCTGAACTTGACTGTCGGCACAATGCATGCTGGCAGGAGACGTTCTCCAGGTAGACGCCAAATCGAGACCCTGCCATCCGAACGGTAAAGGGTGAACCTTGATTCGTGACTCCAAAGAACCCGTTTCCACTGATCTACGGTCCAATTTCGATGTGCTTTGCACGACATTAACCGAGCAGCGCGTTTGGACTTTGTGATCAAAGGCTTATGGGCAGCAGCATGACCATGAAAACCAAGCAGATGTGCTTCCTTACGGATGGTATTCATTGAAACAATACTCCCGGATGCCTGTTGAAACTCCTCGCGGATGAGGGCCATCGGTTGGGTGCGGTTCTTCCGAATTTCTCTGGATAGCACTCGTTGGTCTCTATCTTCCAGTTTCGTTAGTCTGCCGACTCGGGGAACATTCAGACAATAACCGCTCGCCTTACACTTCTTAATCACATAGGCTACTGTCGATTTTGGGTACTTCAGATCGCTAGATATGTCCCTTAAGGATCAGCCAAATTTGTGATACCCGATAATTATACCTTTCTCGAAATCAGAGAGCTCCGAACTGCGAGGCATATTGCATGCGACTAAAGCCGATGTTGTTTCCTACACGATATATACCGGTGGAGTCCCTGACTTACCTTAGGACCGCAGATATCGTCATTTGCATAGGTGTCCAAATACTTATTGGTAGTCAGTGTATGTATTATAGCATCGGTTTTTATTATAGCATTATATCATATTTTTGGTTTATATGTTTATAGCATTGCATTTGCAACACCAAGTAGGAGAGGATTATAGGTTGTAGCTAAGATATCAGTCAATCAAATTATGTTAACCTTTCCTGCAGCTAAGGCGAGACCCCATAAACAATCTCCATCGTATTAGGCTAGAGAGCTGGTCAGTGTCCACAGAAATATCCTCAAAATAGGGATAATACACATTCACTTGCTACACTTTAAGGGCCTCAATCCCGTCAGGGAGAGGTTTAAGAAGAATTCTCTTTTTAACCCTCTAGGCTGAATTGGGCCACCAGGTGTTCATTCTTCACCTCAGTTTTGGAGACCAGCCAGGGGAGAGGCAAACTATGTACACTTGTTTCTGGCCATCGTACTAGCCCACTCAAAAAAACCTAAACCACACCATCTTTCTGGTCATTGGAACTGGGTTTGTGTTATCAGGCCTGTGAAGCTGCTACTGTCATAGTATAATATTAAACCAATGTAATGCAATCCCGGGAGGTATAGTTAAGATATGCACATTATTTAATTTTTAAGCGCCTAGCTCTAGTCAGTGGTATGTAGGTGGGGCTTCAATGGTATAAAACTCTGATTGCTGCATTTTTTTTGGGGGGGGTCTTTTATTTTTGCCACATGGGATTTTAGAAAATTGGTTTAGTTTTGTGGTTTGATAGAGTTCTATCCTGAGTTTGTTGACATGCTATTTACGATCAACTGCAAAGAATGAATAGTGAGGGACCCCTTGAATGTGGAGATGTTGATTTATTACTCTTATATATTGCCTAGGTCAATATATCAACACCATTCAACAGTGTGTCTACTAGTGGTTGTGAGAGTAATGATGAACTCTAATGGCAGCCGGCAGTGACCATAGACAAACTTCTGTTTGAATGGGTTGTCACATTAGAAGTATGATGTATAATGGTCTCTACCATCCTGCAAGTGAACTTGAACATCATGCACTAAGACCAGGAGATCCAGTAGTATTTATGCAAATTATTAGAAGATACTTCTCTGATACTGGCTTATATAACACAGATGGCCAACAGTAGGTGTTATGTTGATCTCAACCAGTCAAATACTATTCATGTTGTACATTCAGTTTATAATGAAGGAAGGGCCAGTGCCAGAGCATGTGCAGTTAATGCGTCAGAATCTAGAGGCAGTAAACTTCTAGGAAGGAACTAGTGGCAGAAACTTTTAATTGTGGATTTTGCACCAGGCAGCAAAAGGTCTATCACCAGCCCTGAATAGAGGCTATAATGGAGTTCTGCTCTCATTGACAATCAGTCTCACGTCTGTTAAAAGGCCATCAAGTTTGTATAGTAATTAGAGATGCAAACTGTCATATCAGTGGGCCCAGGCTTGAATCCAAGAGAAGACACAAATGTTTGTAAGCCTATAGTGTCTGTGCTGTGAGGAAACACTCAAAATACACGTTAATCCAAGTCTTTTCGAGAGGTTGATGGTAAGGGAAGAGGGTGAAGACCTATGGGCCACGCATCAGGTGTTTTCCCTTAAATCTTAACAGTTAGGTAGCTTGAGCAATATTTCAATCACCTGTGGTACTTACAGAGGTGCTGGCGAAGCTCTTGCCTGTACCTGCATTATTTAGCAGTGATGGTGGGAGACCATATGGCCAACCATGCCATGCTGTCTCCAGTGGTATGTAGGTGGTATCTCCATTGTTGGCGTATATTTTGAATAAAACTGTATGACTGTCGTGGACAATTAGACAAAGGTTCCTTTCCTTCAAAAGCAAAATTGCTTTGCTAATTTTTACTAAAAAAAGTACTTGTGTCTTATTGTTCTGAATATTAATAGAGTTTATTCAAAATCTGTAGGGGAAAAATATGCTTTTTTTGCTAATTTTAAAAATGACCCATATAAATAATATCTGAAGAAAGAAGAAATGGCAGTAGTGCATTTAAAAATCTTGTGTGTCATAAAATTTGGAAAATTGAAGATTGCAGAAAACAGATCACAGTCATAAACAGTCACATTTGATACACTGGGGGAAAAAGGGCTGTCTCCCTCTTTTTTTGGTGTGGCTAATGTTACTATACTTTTTCTTTTATCAAACTGTCACTTTGCTTCTGTATTTAAAACCATGGCAGAAACTAGTTATATGTTGAATAATTTTAAGGTTTTTTATGCAGTTTGTAAAAATTATATTTTAGAATATTTCCTCGAAAAGCAAAATTGTTTTGCTAATTTTTGCTAAAGAAAAAGTACCTGTATCTGACTGCCCTCAATGTCAATACGGTTTTAATTAAAATCCATGAATACAAAAAATATGCTTTTCTGGCTAATTTTAAAAATAACCCATATAAATAATAGTTATTATCTGAGAAGTACTAGAAATGGCAATTGTGGATTTAAAAATCTTGAATGTTAAAAAATTTGGAAATTGCAGATTGCAGAAAACACTAACAGTCACATGTGATATACTGGGAAAAAAAAACAAAAAAACACCCTTTTTCCATCATTTAAAAAATTATTTGGGGGGGGGGACTGAATGCTGGGACAATACTGAATGCTATTTTTAGCCCGGATAAATGTCTAGACACACATAACTTTTTCTACATCTGCCATAATTATTTTCCGCATGCGTGAAATATCTGTCGCCAAAAAGCGCCAAAGCTCGAAGCTGATGTCGGAGTTCGAACAGGTTCGACAGTCACATTACGTCTATGGAGCCTTTCCTTCTTTACATAGACTTTCTTCAACTCAGCCGACACACGTGTCGGTATCGGTGCTACTCTGTATAAATGTGTCGGTATCGGTGCTTAAAACTATTTGTTTAAAAAAAATACCCTGGAAAATATGACTACAGGAAACAAGAGATTAAGCTATACAATTCAGTATAAACTAGGAGTGTTAAACTACGCCAAAGTGCATGGAAAGAGCAGCAGAAAGGCGTTTTGGTCCACCAGCAGCATTTTGGTAATTTCAGCAAGGCATTTCGGTAATTTTCCTTAATAAAAATATGTTTGGTAATTGCATTAAATGATTGTTTATTTGACTTTTACGAAACGTGAGAACTAAAATAAATCACATTTTAAGTTATTGTGGTACCACGCTTTTGCGCGTACTATTGAAACTTTTTTCCCTTGTGTGTGGCCTTCTAAATAAGGGTGCATCTTATATGCCGTCAAATATGGTATTTTACTTGATGTGTTAAATATTTTTACTCTGAAGATCCACCATAACCAGGAGCTGCTTGATAACGACAAGCCACAAGGTTTCTCATTCGCAGTCAGTTTTCTCAACAGAATGACTATTGATCTGTCATGGCCTTGGAATATTCTGTGGAACGATGAGGCTCGTTTCTACTTCAGTGGGACATTCAACACACAGAATCGCCGCATTTGGGCTAAGGAAAATCCACTGATCCACACTGAAATTTCCCTACAGTCTCCAAAGATTCTGTGTGTATTCATGGCAACATTCATCCTTGGACCATTCTTCTTTGAGGAAATCGGTGAACGTGGGCCTGTCACATGTTCCGTTATGGGCCATCGGTACCATGACATGCTGCAGACGTTTGTTGTTGTGCCGCAACTACAGCAAAGGTGGATCCTTACATCAACCATTTTCATGCAGGATGGTGCACCTCTACATATCCATGGGTCTGTGAAGGTGCTATTGCACTTACCAGAGGAATGTTTTAGTCGCTCCTTTCCTAATTCATGGCCACCACGTTCATCGGATCTAACTCCGTGCGATTTCTGGTTATGGGGCTATTTAAAATGTCTGGTGTATCATGGTGGTGTTGCAACATTGAATGACTTAAAGAACTCCATAACGCTTCATGTGCGAAGCCTCACAACTGATTAGTTACAATCTGCTGTTAAACACACTGTCCATCGACTTGAAATTTTTGCAGGTGAATGAGGGGTGGTCACGTGGAGCACCTTTCCCTACATCGTCCTAGACACAATTAACAACTGCTCCTCTTGTGCAATTTCTTCCTAATCTGTTCTTGTTTCTGCAAACTGAACTGTTTTTGTTTCTCCCTTACCCTTACTTAATGTGGTTTGATGACAAGGTGATCAGAAATTAGTCAATAAATGTTAATATTGTCTCTGTATTTCGTTTTGGTCGTTTATTGTGTTAAATTTCATGTTTTCCCGAAAAGACGCTCTCTCGTGGACATTTTGGAACTAAAAAATGTTTTCCGAAATTCCGTGAGTGCATCTCATGTGCAAAATGTATGCCCATGTACAAAATTTTCTTGCATTCCATTCACCAGTTTGCGCTGTAGGATGCCTTTTATAGAGGACGTTTAATTATATATAATTATATTTGTGTTAAAGTAAATTCTATTTCATGCCTGATGAATAGCAGTTTTTTTATGTTTTAAATATATATTAAGGTAAAATAAGAATATGTGCTAAGAACTTGGCATTGTTTAATCGTCTTTGATAACTTTTCTCTTACATCACACCATTAGTGCCAAGAACTTATATTGCATCTTTATGAAACTGAATATAGAAAAATCATTATAAAATTAATTCCTTTCCTTATATATAATTTTTAGAAAATTATATGGCTATATTCCTGTATTTCTGTTAGCCAATGTATGATATAAATCAATGCTGTTTCTCTTAAAAAAAATAATTTCCAAGTTCTAAGTTTACAAAAATTAACTACTTAGCTGTTTATATTTAAGAATAAAAAAAGAAAATAATTACTTTTCACTTCTCATATTTTTAAATAACTGCAATGCTAAAATGGGGTTAAGCCTAAAATTGTAATTTTTTTAAAGGTCGAAATTTTAATTAATTTTTTTAAGAATTGGGTTTGAATGAAAGTTTCCCCATCACCACAAATGTTGTTGAAAACAATTCGTGTTGCCATGTTTAATCATATTTTGTCAAATGATTTTTGGCATTTGAAAGAAAAAGACTTGCTTTAAAACATTGGGCTGTGAAATTTGTGAAAAAAATATCATTATCATTAAGTACATGGTGCCTGAAATGGAACTATCATACTACCAGATTAGAACCATCATTTACTTCCAAAAAAGTTGCAAAAAGTCAGCTACAGAATGTCACCAAATTATGGATACAGCTTTAGGTACTAATTTTGTATCAGATACACTGTGAAGGTTTGGTACCGAAAATTCAAAAACGAGGACATTCAAGAAGCAGAGCGCTGTGGCCAACCTACTGATGTTGATGAGGCTCACCTGCAGGAACTTGTGGAAGATCAGTATGCAACCACTCGAGAGCTTGCTAAGGACTTAGAGGTTAATGCCATGTCTATTAGTCGTGGTATGCATCACATAAACTTGACATACAAGTCAATCACTGGGTGCCACATGAGTTGACTTAAGCAAATAAGGACAGACATGTTCGGGCCTGCACTAATCTGCTCAAATATTACTGCAAGGACAAATATCTGGACCAGATCGTTACTTGAAATGAAAAGTGGATTTACCTCAACAGCACAGGCCGAAAAGTGGGTTGGTCTCTGCCTGGTGAGGCCATTGGCAGCTTTGCAAAGTGCAATTTGACTAACAGAATGATCATGCTTTGTATCTGGTGGGATTGCTGTGGTATTGCCCACAAAGGGTATCTGGAAAAAAGGTAAAACCCTCAACAGTAAGGTGTACACTAAGATGCTAGTACGTGTTGATGCTGCTATCAAGGAAAAACGTCGAACTAACTTCGCCCCCAAAACGTGATATTCCATCAAGATAATGCAAGATCATATGTGTCTGCATTCACCAGCTGGACTCAAATGGGATCTTTTGCCACATCCATCATATAGCCCTGACATTGTTCTATCGGACTTCTACCTTTTTTCACATCTACAGCTACGTATTGCTGGTGCTATATTCCATTTTGCACAGGACATTGAAATGAGGTTTATCTGCTTTTGGACTCACGGCCACCAAGTTTCTAGGCTGAAGGCATTAAAAAACCACCAAAATATTGCAACACATTTGCTACATGCTGGTGGTGATTACTACCCACACTATAGGTACTGCTTTCATGTTGTTGTTTTTTTAAACTTTATTAAGAACGTTTTTTGGCAGAAAACTTCATTACAACCATATATTTGATATAGTCATTAAATATTCTAGTTTGAGCATTCAAAGCAATTGTTGCATTTATCAATTCATAAATATTAAAGAAATGCTTTACAATTTGCGTAACGTAATGCAGTTACAAAAGTTCAACTGACTAGATGAAAATTTATTGAAATCTCAAATTTAACAAATGTGTGCTGAGATATATAATCTTAATCAGATTATTTTAGAACATTCTGAATGAATTATGTGCTTTAATTTTTGTGATATTATATCATTATAATCATAGACATTGTATTTATTCTTTTCATAAAGTGTTCATAAACATTACTGTGCTTGTGTATTTTATGTAAATATAACTCATTTTCAGGTGTGTGCTGTTACTATTCGTGGCTTTTGCAATATTCGCTACAATATTAGACTGCCTACTTAATACAGATAATTCAAAAACTTCTTGCTGTGGGAATGGCACTGCAACAACTGCTTCTACTGAAGTATTGTGTGGAGAAAAGACTAAAAGTTATTATGAATTTTTCATTTTATTTGCATTTCTTTATTTTCTTTTCAGTTATTTCTGTGTGCAGTTAATTTTGCTAATTAATGATTATCAATTTAGAGCACAGTAAGGCTATGCAATGTGTATTGGCTTTCTCCTTGACAAAAAGTGCCAAGAAACTTTTTACTGTTGAGAATGGTGCACAAAATATTAAAGCCCTCCATGGACTAAGATTCCTGAGCATGACATTGATCATCTTTGGGCATACATACTCCTTTGCATCTCAAAATTTGTATTTTCGTAAGTACTGAATATCAAAGTTATTTAACATTTTGTATAGATTCTGTTTTATGTGTATTGTGTTTTATATGTGAAAGCATTTTGTGTAGATTCTGTTTTATGTGCAAAATTTCAGTTTGTTTGATCAGATATCAGTTTTGGTATCAGAAGAATATAATTCTCTTTCTTCGTTTTACCTCCTTTGCACAACATTTCTGAATGCAGCAAAATAGATAATATTTTATTTTTTTAATTCTCATATTGTTCATTAATATTTCTTAATAATTAATATGCTTTAAAAATTGAATTTAAGGCACATTATGCTTTCTTTCAAAGAACACTGCATGATAACATTGCTTTTTTGTGAGGAGGGGGGGAGGAATTCCTATATTACTTTTTATCAGATAACAATGCTATCCTCTTCTGCAATTTTTCTTTCACTGTAGAAATTTTTAAATTTTGGGAAGAAAGGGAAAGAAAGGTTTTTATAGTTTTGTTTAATTATGATTATATGAAAAACTGAACATTTTGTAGATTTTTTATGAAACGATATTTTTTGTAGATTTTTTATTTCAAATCTTTGCTAATGAAACTATTTTAAAGTGAATTAGTTTTCTGTAATATGCAACAACCTTAGTAGAATTTTATTCAAAATGCATGGTGATTTAATTTTTTAGGAGCTCTGATGCTCTGTAAAATGAAATGCTTTTTGTTTCCTTCCCTGTGCAGGTAATCCAAGAGCTGCAGCAGGTGCACCATCAGATTTTTCATCTCAGCTATTTGCAAATGGAACTTTTGCAGTTGATACATTTTATTTCATCAGGTTAGTGGGAAAAGCAAAAACAAAAAAATCCAGTTTGCTCTTTTTTTTTTTTTTTTTTTCCTTTTTCATAGTTAAAAATTTTCTCAGACTATATGTTAAATTATGATTTAATTTATAATAGGAGTTAGTTATTTCTCAAATTTAGAATCTTAATTTAAATTATAGTGTTAAATATTGAAAATTGGTGCAACATATTAGTACTACTTACCATCTTAAAACTAGGTTTCTATATATATGAAATTAATTTTTCATAAAAACATAAATAAACTGAACCTTTTTCTTCTAAGACTTTAGTAGACTCCGTGCTAGGCTTAGCTGGGAGTCATAGCTGATTTATAATATCTATAATTATAGATATTATTTATAATATCTATAATCTTGCTGATTTAGATATTATAAGATTTATAATATCTAAATCAGCAATTCACAAACCTTTTGATCTGTGTAATCCTGCTTAGAATTAGATTCTCTAACAAAGCCCCTTAGGCCCCAACCTATATCTTACATGATAATGATGTTTAAGAATGAGTAGATTAGCTTAGCTTATTTGACTATGGCAAAGCACATGAGGGCTATCTGCCTATTGATCTGCCTATCTGCCTATCCTGGGCAGGAAAGAGTATAGATAGTAAGGATATATCTAAAGAATTGTGCAATGTCCATGAAATGAAACTATATTTTAAAATTTTCATTCTTTACATCATATTTCAGTTTTTATTGACATTGTATTGCCAAAAGGTAGTGATCGCTACCTTTTACAATACAATGTCAACTAAGATGTCACTAGATGTCAACTATATGTCCACTAAAGATGCAAAGCCCACCCAACACAGTATACTATCTAAATGATTAGCGTGATGTACTCTTATTTTAGTGAACTGGTAACTACAACAATGTTTTAGTGATTTAGTAAAGAATTCAAAGTATTAAAATATTTCCATAATTTTGAAATTTTTAAATTATTGAAAAATATTCAATATAATCATTTGAAAATTTCCTCATTGTACTTGGTATCTCAATAAAGCTTTTATAACTGTAATCCATTTATATTTATTACATATGTGTATGAACCTGGGTAGAGAAAAAATGCTGACGTATATATAAATGCAAAGTGATCTATGGACATTTTTAAGTATATATATGCAAATACTTTTTGAGTATTATCTGTCAGAAGCTAATAATTTTGCTTTCATTTATAGAATTTAGTATTTAAGACACTTTACATTTTTCCAAATTTTCTAAATGTATAAATCTTAGTTTATTATAAATTATTAAAATTTAATGTTTCTTAATTTAATATCTGTTCCCCCCTCTTTCAAAATAGAAATATTTCAAAAAAATATTCTTTGGCTTGCAATGTTTATAATAACTATATTTCTTATAATGATAACTATATTTCTTAACTTAATACCTTCCCCTCCCCATTCTAAACAGAAATACTGTAAAAAAATGCTATTTGGCCTGGAATATTTTTTTAACAGTTTAGCTTTTAATACTGTTTTCTGTTGTCCATTTCTTTCTTCCTTAATTGCTTTCCTTCCAGAAAAAGAGCTAAATTATTTTGATAATTGGAGGAAAGAAAAACCGTTTTAGTACTAGATTTATAGGATATTTACCTATTTTATTATCTTGTTATATAACGAAATGTCTCGTTTTGAGTTAAAAGTTTTTATAAATCAACACAATCATAGTTTCCAAATTAATTAACTACATAAAACAATTATTGTTAACAAAGCTGACTTTTGGAAAATCTGTATTACTCACTTCTGAGAATATACACTATACTATGACCTTCATAGCAATGCTTAAATACTATTCATAGCTCATACGTTAAACTGAATGAAATACATTAAACTTATGTGTTAAAGTTCACAAGTTCTTTATTTAATCAACACATATGGAGAGTAAACACTTATTGTATACTGACTTGAATGATAGCAGCAATAATTAATATATAATAATTGAAGATAAATTTTAAAATTATTATTTAGAATGAAGCGATTATCAATGAAAATAATAACAGAGATGCATGAACTTTATAGAAGTGCGAGAAAAATCAATGAAGATTTTTTGCTATACACAAATTTCTGCAAGCATACAATGAAATCAGGGCATTTGGAATTATTTTAATATGATTTTTCAGAGAAAAGATGAGAATTCGGAAAATGTGTTTTGATGTAAATTATGTTGTAACATAAAATATAGGCATTTTTGCTATCCTTCTCCTTTAATATAAACATGATTCAGTTTTTTATTTAATTTAAATAATATGAAGAGATCATATTTTACAGTGCATGCTTTCAAATGTTATTAATTTAAACTAAATGAATCTGTACAACACAAAGCCACACCGTTTTTGGGTGAATCAGGCACTTGAAAGTAATGGGGCACAGTACTGCATAAATAAGTATTTGGAAAGTAATAAAAATATTTAGGAGAAGCAGTTATGAGATTAGTTTCAGATATTAAAATCTGATGATAAAGCCCTGACGCTTTACTTTCTTTAAAATACTTCATTTTTCTTTAAACTGGACTTTCTTTAAAGTTTTCATTTTATTTCTTTATTGAAATCAGAAAAGATTTCAAACTGTTAAGATGTAAAAAAGGCATCAATGTTTTATTAAGGCAATATGTTTCTGCCTATCCTGGGATCTTACATGATAATGATGTTTAAGAATGAGTAGATTAGCTTAGCTTATTGGACTATGGCAAAGCACATGAGGGCTATCTGCCTATTGATCTGCCTATCTGCCTATCCTGGGCAGGAAAGAGAATATAGATAGTAAGGATATATCTAAAGAATTGTGCAATGTCCATGAAATGAAACTATATTTTAAAATTTTCATTTTTTACCATCATATTTCAGTTTATTATTGACATTGTATTGCCAAAAGGTAGTGATCGCTACCTTTTCACAATACAACGTCAACTAAAGATGTCACTATATGTCAACTATATGTCACTAAAGATGCAAAAGCATGCCACCCAACACAGTATTACTATCTAAATGATTAGCGTGATGTACTCTTATTTTAGTGAACTGGTAACTACAACAATGTTTTAGTGATTTAGTAAAGAATTCAAAGTGGAAAGATTAAAAGGCAATATGTTTTAGTAATGATATTATAGTTTTTTACTAGATGGGAATTAAAGAAACAGTTTCCTTAGTATACTTTTAACTGAAGAGAAATAGATTATTTGATTTCTTTAATATAAAAAATAGGTTTTAATTTACTTTTAGCACAGTAAGTATGAACACGTTTATGCCTTTGATTTTAGAATGTATGCAATTAAAACTGAATTTCAGTTATTTACTTAAGTTCAGATTGAAATTGGCTGTATTTATGAAAATAAAAGTAATTCCACTACTTAATTTTGTATTAATAAATTTGCAACTTTTGTTAAAATTAAGAGATAACAAAAATATAAAACTCCTCCTCTTACATTAAAAGAAATATTTGCTTGTCCTTCAGTATAATACAGCACAATTATGTGGAGTTTTCAGAACCTTCGATTGACTCTCCAGGAATTGGCTTTCTGTTATAAAATTCCCAAACAAATTTATTTGTTTATTTAAAAGCGGCAAAGAATTGAGGTCTGTCCCAATAAAAAGATTCCATTAAGTTATATTTTACCTTAAAATCAGTTTTTCTTCCCCTGTATGTCAAAAATTTCACTTTAATTAATCAGTGTTTTATAATATGCAGATTTCCAAGTTTCCAATGAAATCTTTTCAATGTCTATTCTGCAAGTGATACATTAAAGCAAAACTAGATGTGATAAGGTTAGATAATTAAATAATAGAGGGTTAAATGTAATTTTTAAATTTATAATAACAAAGTAAAATATATTGTTGCAGCAGAAGTGAAATATATTAATTTAAAATAAAATTATTATTTCAAATCAAATTTATCATTGAAGCTTAAACATACATTTCGATTTATAGTAATTTATAGTAAATTGTCTGCAATAGATGAAATTTTCTTAAAATACAATTTAAAATTCGGTTTCTTTATAACATGAGTTAACTTGTACTTTTAGAGACAAATTAATATTAATTTATACTCTTTTTGTCAAAAGTGAAATTTTAACTTCCTTCATATATAAGTAACGATGAAATGTAATTTCATTATTTTTATATTGTTATCATTTAAATAATCTATGTATCTATTTTAAAAAATTAATACCATGAATACATTCTATTAATCTCTCAAGCAACAAATACTTTTGCACAGTTGGTTTTCATGTTTTTCTTAATATGTATAGTGAATACAAGTACTTTCCTTAGAAAGGCACCCCTTCTCTTAAGTAGGCAGCCCTCATGTGTTTTGCCATAGTCAAATAATTTAACCTAAACTAGGAAATATTTTTCTCTAATTAAATCTCTTAATAAGGAAATTGGGTTACTTTACCAAAACAACTTAAATATATTATACGTAAAAGTGTGACATAATTTGTGAAAAGAAAAGATTTGACATAATAAATTTAAAAAATAATTTCAGAAATTTACATATAGGAAACACGTAGAAAAGTTGAGTGGAAAAGTTCAGTGTTTTAACCCCTTGTGGTGCACTATACTTTAAAGTCAGAATTTCAACAAAAAAAAAGTTGTATTCAGTCTATTTAAGCCTAAAGGACTATGCATGTAAAATTTTGTAAAAATTGCATTTACCTTTTAATTTTGTGGGGGTGTTCCATGAGGTGCAACGCTGCGCTGCCAGAGCTCTTAAAGTGCGACTATGCGAGCATTGTAGTGAAACACGAAAATGAGTAGAAGCTTTTGTATAGTAATGAACAATGTATTATGGCTATATACATGTTTTTCTGGATAAACACGATATTCTTGAATATATATGGATAAATGATATAAATATATGTATATACACAAGTCCTATGTAAAAAATATTTACATATTTTTCGATTTCTTAGCTTCATGAAATTGTTCAAAGCATGTCACACCTTTTTGATGGAACCACAAACCAACTTTGCAGGTTTTGCAC